CCCTGCAGATGCGTTTTCCTGCGCAGAGCAAGGGTGGGTCCGACTCGCCTGGAACCCCCCTGTACACGCCCACTGCTGCGGCGCGAAGGCGACCAGGCGAAGGAGCAAGCGAACCGAGCGGGGGGAAGGGTGTGGGAGGGGGGTGTTCACTGTCACCCTTTCCGCAAAGCCGATGGAGAATTTTCAATTTATTACACTATAAAATGGAAGCGACCTGAGGTGAAATTCTTGCAAATTTTCAAAATTATTTTTGTTTTTAGCTTGGTGGGAGGGGGCTCGGGGGGGTTCGTTTCGAAAACGCGCCCCGAACGCCCCACTGGCTACGGCAACTGTATAACGCTATAGCTATATATGCGTTTTACTTTATACTAGTAGGCCTATAACATTATTGAACGTTTGCCCAACTAGAGATATCACTAAAGGCTGTAATTTGTACACTTTCAACGTTGACTACATGAATTTTGCACTTTATTTTGTCCAGATTTATCAACTTTGTCTCTTTCCGTCTTCGACATAGTCTATTGGACGTTGAACACAAATATTTACGAGGTTAAAAGGTTAGATGATTTTTTGTCGTGGGCGCTACCATTGTTGTAGGTATCCTATTGGCGGCAACGTCAGTTTACGCGCTAAGATTCATACGCTACGTTTCTCCGCGTGAACTTTAGCCTACTAGAGTGTTACTAGAGTCAACTATACAATATTAAGTGCCTACCATACAAAGAGAACACTACGGTTCAGAAGAGCTTAGATCAAGGATCAATTATCGGGTGAAGTAGTTCGAATATTTTATTAGCGTTTATTTAAAAATCTGCGGGGATTCAACCCTGAGAATAATGTGTTATGTGTTTTTATTCGCTCCTGATTAATATTCATTTTGGTCGAAAATCGTTGTGTGTGTGGTGTGTGTGTGTGTGTTGTGTGTGGTGTGTGTGTGTGTGTGTGTGTGTGTGTGTGTGTGTGGTGTGATGAGTGTGTGTGTGTGTGGGGGAGAGGTATCTGGTGGTAGGGGGGGGTGTATCGTGTGTGTGTGCGTGTGTGTGTGGGGGGAGGTGTTTGTGTGTTGTGTGTTCCCGTTTTACCAGACAGGGTTGGTTGCCAGTGAAGGCAAGGTCGTAAAAATTGAGAAACGAAATTAAATGCAATTAAATTAGAAGAATCCTAAAAATGACCAAGATTTTCTTACACAAGTCTGTACTAATATGCCTGTCTTTGTATAAATAATTAAACATCGTTTTATATATACTTATACATAAAACAATTAATAAAATGAAATTTTAACTTACATTGGCCCTGTGGAGCCATCGCATGAGTACGTCTTTACGCCATTGTCTGGCCCCTTCACTGATATTTTATCTGACGTAATGGCGTAATGGGGTGACAATAATGGGAGGTTCCTGGTCAAACTCTAAACGAACACCGCCGGATGAGTTACCGTATATGCAAACCTACGGCAAAACACAATACATAGACGCGCGGTTCACACAAGGACGCAGTGCCAGGCAGCGCTTGGTGTAGCTATGGATGGTATAGTTATGGATAGGTGTAGCATGTGGGATGGTGTAGCTCTGTATGGTGTAGCTGTGGATGGTGTATGCTGTGGGATGGTGTAGGGCTGTAGTATGGTGTAAACTGTGGGATGGTGTAAAGGCCTGGAGATGGTGTGACTGTGTTGATGGGGTAGCTTGGGATGTGTAGCTGTTGAGATGGTGTAGCTCTGGATGGTGTAGGCTGTGGGAATGGGTAGCTGTGGATTGTTGTAGCTGGTTGGATGGTGTTAGCTATGGATGGTGTAGCTGTGGATGGTGTAAGCTGTGGGATGGTGTAAGGCTGTGGATGGTGTAGCTGTGGATGGCTGTACTTGGGATGGTGTAGGCTTGTGGGATGGTGGTAGGGCTGTGGGATGTATAGCTGTGGGAAGGTGTAGCTGTGGGATGGTGTAGCTGTGATGGTGTAAGCTGTGGGATGGTGGTAGCTGTGGGATGGTGTAGGCTGTGGGATGGTGTAGCTGTGGGATGGTGTAGCTTGTGGGATGGTAGATGGTGGATGGTGTAGCTGTGGGATGGTGTACTATGAAGATGGTGTAGCTGTGGGATGGGTAAGCTGTGGATGGTGTAGGCTGTGGAACTGGTGATACTTGGGATGGTGTAGGCTGTGGATGATGTAGCTATAGGGATGGTGTAGCTGTGGGATGGTGTAGCTGTGAGATGGTGTAGTTGTGGGTCGACTGACCACATCGCTCACGCGCGGCAACATGCGAGGCCTAGCGACATTGTTGCGCTACGTAAATGATGAAGATGGTCGCATTCCTCTCTCCCTCATCGACTACTACGACCTAATCCGACCTAATCCGTCCACTACGGCCTTGCATGCAGCTTACGTTGATCACATGCATGACCGCAACGTGTGTCTACAGAGCAGCGTCTGTAGAGAGGGCCATACAGCGTAAACAGACACATGGTTTATGTTGTCAGAAAGTATTTATGTTGAAAGAAGGGACGAATCACTTGTTGAATGATGACCTGCGCGCTCCAGGCACGGGCCCGTGCACGTAGGTCTCTATCCGAGATTCCACACGTCCGCTCCGTGCATTATACACATACCAAGCCTTGCATCGGATGGGCGCTGATCCTCACCTTCTGGTCTCACTCTTACTATAGTTGACTGTAGAAGCACTGAAAGTGGATAGGAAGGTCGCCGCTGGATGACGGGAGGAGGCCAGAGGCATCGGTAAGGAAGTGTGTGAAGTGCTAGCTGGAGAAGGGCGCCAAGGTAAGGGAAGGCAGGGAGACACCGTTACAGCGCTGCATGATAGATCGATGTGTATCTTCTCTCATTATAGCAAGAGTGAATAAAAACACTTTTGATTTTATTCGCTCCTGATTATATTTATGTAATGTTGAAAAATTGTTACGTATTTATCTGCGTAAGTGTGTGTGTGTGTGTGTGTGTGTGTGTGTGTGTTGTTTGTTGTTGTTTATTTGTTTTTTGTGTATGTGTGTGTGTGTGTGTGGGTGTTTTGTTTGTTGTTTTATTTTTTGTTTGTGTAATGGTGTGTGGGTGTGGTGTGTGTGTGTGTGTGTGTGTGTGTGTGTGTGTGTGTGTGGCATGTGTGTGTGTGTTGGTGTGTTGTGTGTGGTGTGTGTGTGTGTTTGTTTGTTTGTTTGTTTGCTTTTATTTGTTTGTTTGTGTATGTGTGTGTGTGTGTGTGTTTGTTTATTTGTTTGTTTATTTGTTTTGTTTGTGTTGTGTGTGTGTGTGTGTTTGTTTGTTTTTGTTTGTTTATTTGTTTGTTGTGTATGTGTGTGTGTGTGTGTGTGTGTGTGTGTGTGTGTGTGTTGTGTGTTGTGTGTTGTGTGTTGTGTGTTGTGTGTTGTGTGCTGTGTGCGTGCGTGCGTGTGCGTGTGCGTGTGCGTGTGCGTGCGTTACTTCTCCGTGACCCGCTGGCTTTCTCACGGCGTGCGTGTTATCAGCAGCGTGATGGTAGCAGCGCGACATCGTTGCCTCCGATTATAATCCGCATGCCGTACAAAGTTTACACTAGAGATTCTTTGCAGCGGCTTCTACGTGTATAGAGTGGTGCGCCGGTTAAACATTAGCTGAGATTACGAGGCGTACGTTTGTCGTGAGTAAGGTGAGGTAACGCTACGTACGAGTAACGGCTGCAGACGTTTGCTTACGTGTGATCGTTATAGCGACTCATCGTTACACTGTAGCGTGCGTATATGTACGTACGTACTCATGCCTGCCGCTATGTGAAGACGGACAGAGAGAGAGAGAGAGAGAGAGAGAGAGAGAAAAGAGAGAGAGAGCGAGAGCGAAGAGAGAAGGAGAGAGAAGAGAAGAGAGAGAGAAGAGAGAGGAGAGAGAGAGAGAGAATAGAGGTGAGAGAGAGAGAGAGAGAAGAGAGAGGGAGAGAGAGAGAGAGAGAGAAGAGAGAGAGAGAGAGAGAGGAGAGTTTATTTGTTACAAGATTTATTAATTGTGGTACAATTAATTATTACATTTTTTGCGCTTGTTGAAATAAATATATATTATAAGTTTGCATGCATATCTATATATACATGTAAACTTATACTTAGACATTTTTGTACAGGGTGTGACAATTGTAGATTACAATAAAGCAAATGGAGAGGAAACGGAAGCGGCGTTTTCTAAGAAATACGGAACCGGAAAGGCGACTTTCCTCCAAACAGACGTCACCACAGACCAACTAGAAGGTGTAGTTGTCCGCATAGTATGAAGAAAATTGACCGATCGATGATTAATCAATATATTATGTTGTGACAATGTCGTTCAATCAATAATACGCTTCGCAATTATTTAGGTTGTCAGTTTGAATTTCATAGCAAACAATTTCAAAAACATATTTTACAGTTAATCGTATTTAACATTAAATTGTTGGTTCGCGAAGTATACACACGTGTACTCTTTGTTCCTTCAGCGTTCATGATTCTATTGCTAAGCATTTGCATATTTCATGCGCGAAGAAGATGCATTCGTACATTCCATACTTACATGCATTACAGACGCCTTTAAGAAGACAAAGGACGTGTACGGCCGTCTAGAATATCTCGTCATGAACAACGCAGGAATCGGGCAGATGAACAAATGTTCAGCGCATGATCAGCATTAACCTGTTGTAAACCGGAGAGGAAATCCCGAAACCTATGACTCACCTGTCTGACTCGCCGGCGTCCTTGGGTGGCACATTCCGCATTTCCAAAACACGATACAGATGTACATAGTGTGCCTTGAATTCGTATTCTATGGCTATCATCTCTCTCTCTCTGTCTGGCTGGATGTATATATCTCAGTCTCGTTGTCTCTCTCTCGTCATTATGCCTCTCTTTTCTCTCTCTCACACCACTCTCTTCCTTTATCTTAGCCACGCACCCACACACCACCACCATATATATATATATATATATATATATTAATATATATATAATATATATATATATATATACAGTATATCGAACGTTGCTTGAACCTTCCAGATAGCCGTCATCACAGGAACACAGCTAGCGTTGAAAATACATGGGCAAGTGTAACGGTGGCAACGGAGGTGTCATTATAAACACAGCATCTATCGCAGGTAGGAATTAATACAGGGCACACGTGTCAGCAAACACGCGCGCACAGGTACACATACACATGTACATGCACACGCACACGCACACACACTCACACAATGCGCAACACAAGCCCCGACCCACACCACGGCGCACGCAACACGCAAAAACACACAGTCACACACAGCAGCACACGCCACACAGCACGAACCGCACACTACAGCCACTCACACGCAGCGTACACAACACCACACACGCGGCACAACACGACTCCCACACCCAACACACACGCAGCGCGGAGCGCGGCACACACACACCTACACACACACACACACCACTCATCACACACAAATTCTATTTCCTTTCGATTCGCCTATTCCATCTGTGCTTAACCCGATCCATACGGGCTATCAATCTTATTGCTGTAATGACATGTAATAATGTGAATGAATAAATTTGCATGAATAAAATAAATAAATAAATAAATAGAATACATACATACAAACAAAGGGTAATAGTAATAAAGTATAATGTAATATTCACAGACACAGCACACACAACAGCACACACACGACACACACACACACACACACAACACCACACACACACACACACACACACACACACACACACACAGCACACCCACACACACACACGCACAACACACACACATAATACACACACACACACACACACACACACACACACACACACACAACACACACACACACACGCACAGCACGCTACAGCACACACACGACGCCCACACACACACACACACACACGACACTACACGCACGAACACACAATCCACGGCACAACACGCGCACACACACGCACAGCACACACAGAGGCGCGCGAGCGCGCACACGAACACCACACGCACACCACACGCACCCCGACAACGACACAACTGCACACGCACACGCACACGCACACAGCACACGCACATCGCACACGGCACACCACACGCACACTCACACGCACACGCAAACACGCGCACAGCACACGCACAATTGGCGGCGCACTCACACGCACACATCCACGCGCACGACACCGCGCGCGAGCACGCGCACAGCACACGCACGCACGGCACACACACACACACACACACACACTCACACACACCACACACAACACACAACACTGCCACGCATTAGCACCACACGTATATATATATATTTATATATTTATCTATTCATTTATTTAAGGCAAGGTAATGTGCAAAGTTATGCTATTGCAGGGTTGAGACCGTTTTGGAATATTCCCGCTTACTCGGGAACGAAGCATGGAGTTATAGGATTCTCGCGTGCGATGGCTATGGTACAAGTATACGGAGGGGGCAAACTGTCTGTTTGTGGTGAGATGTCAGCAGAAGTAGTGCATAATGATCAGAAATTGTGTTGCCATTAGTTGTAGTGGAGCAGTCCGGACCTGCTTTGCTTGGTAGGAATTGGCTCGGTAGCTTGAAGTTGAATTGGGCCAATATCTTTAGTGTAGAGCTGCAACCCAAACCGCGTACCATGGAGGATGTACTCGATAAGTACAAGAGCGAGAAGAAGCTAGGTACTGTAAAAGGGTTTAAAGCAAGCATTAGGTTGAAGGAGGGGGCACAGCCTATCTTTCACAAGGCTCGACCTGTGCCGTATGCGTTGAAGCCGTAAATTGACAAGGAACTGGACAGGTTAGAGTCAGAGGGAGTGATCAGGAAGGTTGAGAGGAGTGATTGGGCATCGCCGATAGTATGTGTGCCTAAGAAAGATGGCTCGATAAGAATCTGTGGTGATTTTAAGGTGTCTGTAAACACTGTGTTGCTTGATAACCCGTACCCGTTGCCAGTTATTGAGGATATGTTTGCGACTATGGGAGATGGCACCATGTTTAGTAAGATTGACCTTTCCAATGCCTATCAGCAGATGGAGCTAGATAAGGACAGTTGCCAGTATTTGACCATAAACACTCATAGGGGGCTGTACCAGTATACCCGTTTAACATATGGAATCGCATCCGCACCGAGTATGTTTCAATCCATGATGGATCAGGTGTTACAGGGACTGGACACTGTTCAGTGTAGGATTGATGATATTGCGATTCGTACCAGTCCACAGGAACATTTGTCTGTAGTCGAAGAAGTGTTGGCACGACTATATAAACACGGGATTCAGGCAAAATGGGTGAAATGTGTCTTCGAGAAGCCAAGTATGGAGTACGTAGGGTACGAGGTGGATAAAGACGGCAGACATCCGATGAAGGATAAAGTCACTGCGATTGAAAACGCTCCGCAACCGCGAAATGTTCGAGAGTTGAGATCTTATTTAGGCCTCTTGAATTTCTACGCGAACTTCATCCCGAACCTCAGCACCCTGTTACATCCATTACATGAGCTGTTAAAGCAGGAAGTAGAGTGGAACTGGACTGAAAGTTGTGCTGAAGCTTTCAAGAGGAGCAAAACTGCGCTTTTAGAAAGTAACGCGTTAGTGCCGTATGATACGAAGCAGAAGCTCATACTTGCGACCGATGCTTCACCCTATGGGGTAGGAGCTGTGATTTCTCACGAGATTGATGGAGAGGAGCGACCAGTGGCATTTGCCTCCAGAACTCTCACCTCTAGTGAACAGAACTATTCGCAAATTGAAAAAGAGGCGCTTGCGATCGTTTATGGAGTTCGTAAATTCTATAAATATCTCTATGGACGTCAGTTTCATTTCTTCACGGACCATCAACCGTTGGTAAAGATCTTGAGTCCCAAGACCGGTATTCCAATCTTAGCGGCCGCCCGAATGCAGCGTTGGGCAGTAATCCTACAAGCCTATCAGTATACTGTGTCTTATCGCCGATCCGAGGATAATGCAAACGCAGATGCATTATCACGCCTTCCGAGCCATGAGCCGGTAGAATGCGAAGATGTCGAGGCAGCAGAGACATTCTTTTTCTCCAGCCTGGAGGAGCTGCCAGTCAGAGCAAAGGACATTGCAAAACGCACTCGTAGGGACACTGAGTTGAGCAGAGTGTGTAACTACATCCAGAATGGTTGGCCTGGATATTTGAAGCCTGAGGAAGAGAAGCTGAAACCCTATTTCTTGAGGAGAAATGAACTGTCTACCTTGCAAAATTGCATAATGTGGGGTATGCGTGTGGTCATTCCTACAGAATTTCGGACCAGGCTCCTGCAAGAATTACATGAGGGGCACCAAGGAATTGTGTCAACCAAGTCTATCGCGCGAAGTTATATGTGGTGGCCCGGACTCGATCAGGACATTGAACAGTTAATAAAGGGGTGCACCATTTGCCAAGCAGTCAGGAGGAGCCCTCCAGTGGTACCGCTGCATCTCTGGAAGTGGCCTACTCGCGTGTTAGATCGAAGTAGCACACATGCGCTCGACTACAGCAGAGAAAACCATTGAGGTTTTGAGATCTTGGTTCTCACGGTATGGGCTACCCGAAACATTGTGTTCAGATAACGGACCACAATTCATAGCAGAAGAGTTTGCGCTGTTCTTGAAACGGAATGGTGTCCGCCATATTCTTGTACGGAGCTGCGGATATTCTTGTACAGCCTCTAACGGAGCTGCAGAGAGGTCAGTGCAAATTGTCAAAATGGCACTACTGAAGCAAATTGAGAATGTGAAGCAAGGAGGTGAAAATCTGCCTATGGGACATCGACTGGCAAATTTCTTGATCCGCTACAGGAATACACCGCATTCCGTTACTGGGCAGACACCATCAGAACTGTTCCTTGGCCGCAGAGCACGTACAAGATTCAGCGTGCTAGTGCCAAATCTTGAAGAGCATGTAGTTGACAAACAGTGGCAGCAGAAATATCAGCATGATCGAAGCAGAGTGAAATTCCGTGAATTTGAACCGAACGATGCTGTCAGTGTGAAAAATCATAGTGACTCTAAGTGGTCGCTGGGAACAGTGGTGAAATGCATGGGACCAACATCCTATTTGGTTCGGGTTGGGCGAAGTTTGAGGCATGTCCATGTGGACCACCTACTCAAGTTTGAGGGCAAGAAGGGGTTAACGGAGCCAGAGAATACTGTGTTGGAAACGCCTGGGGAGTTTTACCCTCCAGTGGGTCCTAGACTGGCCACAGTTCCAAAAGACAGTGTTGATTCTCCAATAGTGGACACTCAGCAGCCCACCGAGACTGCTATTCCTAGTGAGAACAATGACCTTGAGCTGGGGACACAAGCTAGTTCTAATGCTAGTCCTGTGGCTCCAGAGACTCCTGTTATTCCACTCAGGGTGTCTACCCGTATCCGCAAACCCGTAGACAGACTCAATTTATGAACGGACTATAGGCCTACAGTGCCTACTGTGTTCAGTGTTGTGAAATTGACGGTATGGCTATTTGCCAAGTTCACGAGTTAAAGTTAGTTACCAATTCTATAGTTACTCCCCTATATGTTGGAGTGTTCAAGTGTTGCGACAAGTCAGTTTTAAAAAGGAGAGAAAGAAGAAAAATGTTACGGTATTCTGTTAAAGCGGTATTTCAGAAAATAGACATTTTCATAATGGACATTTGCCAAACGTGCAGAGTAATTATTTTGGATAGTCTAAATAAGACAGAGATCTACAAGTTTAGAGTTATTTGAGTTTGAGTCTAAAAAGGGGAGGACTGTAATGTATTAGGTTTTTAATAGAGTAATAGTTACCGCTGTACGGTGGCGCCGCCACCCGGTTCTAACAGAGAAATAAAAGATGGATGATTATACGACCAGCTATTGAATCCTAAAGTATTAGTCCTTTACTAAGGCCGTGAGCCGGGCATAGAGCCGAGGTGCGAGGACATAACAATAATGAGTGAATAAGTAAAACAATAATTAGAATAGAATACAAATGGACAATTACTCGGCCAGAGCAGCTGACGTAATAGGCCTAAATGCGGAGCATAATGTAAACAAACGGCCGCATCGAGGCAGAGCACACCGGTATAAACCGGTACCGAAGCGATGCCAGCTGGGAACACCCCTGCTTGTTGCTAGGAGAAGGGGGTGGACCGTACACGTCCAGGTAGCAACCAGGCAGTATATAAGGCGGACGCAAAGCAGGAGAAATCAGAACGCCGGGCAGCAGGCCCTAGGAGCACCAAAGACACGGATCACTACAGACACGGAGCACTAAAGACACGGAGCACTACAAAGACACGGAGCACTAAAGACACGGAGCACTACAAAGACACGGAGCACTATACAGACACGGATCACTACAGACACGGATCACTACCGACACGGATTACTACAGACAGGATCACTGCACGGAGGCAGACGAGGAGCACCGTAGGGAGTGACTAACTCACCCCGGAGAAGGCAGAAGATAGAAGAAAGAAGAAAGAAGAAGGAAGAGAGAAGAATGAAGAAAGAAGAAAGAAGAAAGAAGAAAGAAGATAGAAGAGAGAAGAGAGAAGAGAGAAGAGAGAAGAGAGAAGAGAGAAGAGAGAAGAGAGAAGAGAGAAGAGAGAAGAGAGAAGACAGAAGACAGAAGAAAGAAGATAAAAGATAGAAGAGAGAAGGCAGAAGATAGAAGAAAGAAGATAGAAGAAAGAAGAGAGAAGATAGAAGAAGGAAGAGAGAAGAAAGAAGATAGAAGATAGAAGAGAGAAGGCAAAAGATAGAAAGAAAGAAGATAGAAGAAAGAAGAAAGAAGAAGGAAGGGAGAAGACAGAAGAAAAAAGATAGAAGAGAGAAGAAAGAAGCAGGAAGAGAAAAGATAGAAGAGAGAAGACAGAAGATAGAAGCAAGAAAAAAGAAGAAAGAAGAAAGAAGAAGGAAGAGAGAAGACAAAAGAAAGAAGAAGGAAGAGAGAAGACAGAAGAAAGAAGATAGAAGAAAGAAGACAGAAGATAGAAGAAAGAAGGAAGAAGAAGGAAGACAGAAGAAAGAAGACATAAGAGAGGCGACGGAAGAAAGAAGAAGAAACGAGAAACGACGCGACTAAGAGAGGAGGGAGGAGAACGCCGACAGCAGGTGCCGTTACGTCTTATTCTCACTCCCGACAATCGCAATAAATACGTCGGGTTCGCGTTCACGCCGAAGCACCTATATTTTCGCACGTAACCGTTCACTGGCCTTATGCCATAAAATATTATAGTTACGACGAATAGTACGTCACGCAGTCAGAGCACTCATAACACCTCAGGTAACCACCAGGTACGACACTGCATAACTGTAGGGTGTGTATGAGCAATAAAGCTACCGGTTCTGTATACTACACATACCAAGCCTTGCATCGGATGGGCGCTGATCCTCACCTTCTCGTCTCACTCTTACCTATAGTTGACGTAGAAGCATGAAAGTGGAAGGGAAGGTCGCGCTGGTGACGGGAGGAGCTAGAGGCATCGGTAAGGAAGTGTGTGAACTGCTACTGGAGAAGGGCGCCAAGGTAAGGGAAGGCAGGGAGACACCGTTACAGCGCTGCATGATAGATCGATGTACGGGAGATGTACAGAAATACCGACTTAGATGTCGCATACGATGACTTAGTTGCAGCGGTTAAACATGGCAAACGCATTGCCACTGCCGACGCGTACTACGCTTCGAACTCAGAGCTGGGTATAACCTCGAATTATTCAACCGTCTATGTGTCGTTGGCATTAGCTACACTGCTGATTGCAGGGTTGATTATTTATTGTCGTTATATTATTATTATTGTAAATACATTCCTCGGTCCGCCGCTTGGCGACGCACACCCCTCCGCGCCCAGTGGCGAGAGAGCCTGACATTAGACTGACCAAGAGACAGACGGAGACACCTGATAACGGCCAGATAACCGTGGATTCGGTCTATCAGGTCAAAGCTGGCCCGCATAGTGGCGCAGCCTAACGACGAGCGTGAAATACCGCTGTCTGCGCCATTCCTGCCGTCACGTCCGCTTGAGCCCCCGCCAACTATACCGCTCCTGGAACCTATATCACTCGCGGGTGGTGATCTGCAGACACCTCCTGCGTTTATCCGGTAAATGGGGATCCATGGGGGAAGGGGAAGCCCGGGATAGAGAACGTGCAACAACTGACGCGTTGTCGCCGGTACCTACGGTTCTCACTTATCGGTTACGGACAGCAGTCTATCTGCATAATTTATGTGTTTGCATGCCAACGTACACTGAGCACGTATATTCTTCCATCGCCGGCTCCTCAGTCGTTCAAGAGTACATTGAATAGTGGCCAGGCCTACGAAGACAAGAAATTCGCAACTACACCCGATCTTAGATAGATATGAGAGCTCGTTTTATTGATCACCAGTCAATTCTGAAATAATTAAAATAAAAACGATTTTGAGTTGACATTCTGTCATTCATAAGATACATAAAGATGCCAAGACATAAAGATATGCATAAATACATAATGACACATTAAGACATAAAGATATGCATAAAGATACATAAAGACACATTAGCAAATGTCAGAAATTAACTTACTACTGTGATCTGATGTAATTTTAACAGTTAACAGTAGAAGTTTCTGGTTAGCATCATTTCACACATTCGCAGTCCACAGATTGGCAGATCCCTATAATATCATCACATAGCAATAGTGGTAATATTTTCTGTTAACAGGTATTTTCCGGCTTTTAGTTCAGTAAACAATACATCAGTTCTACGTCTAACAGCGCCCTCTATAACTTCTCAACAAAATTCTAATTTCACATGAAACAACTTCAATGTTTAATGAATGACGCACTCGTTCACTTCCGACAGCGAGTGAAAATGCCGAAAATTTTCCACTTCGATGCTGATGTCGCATACGATGACTTAGTTGCAGCGGTTAAACATGGCAAACGCATTGCCACTGCCGACGCGTACTACGCTTCGAACTCAGAGCTGGGTATCACCCCGCACTATTCAGCCGTCTATGTGTTGTTGGCATTAGCTACACTGCTGGTTGCAGGGTTGATTATTTATTGTCGTTATATTATTATTATTGTAAATACATTTCTCGGTCCGCCGCTTAGCGACGCACACCCCTCGGCGCCCAGTGGCGAGAGAGCCTGACATTAGACTGACCGAGAGACAGACAGAGACACCTTCGGTCTATCAGGTCAGACAGCTGGCCCGCATAGTGGCGCAGCCTAACGACGAACGTCAAATACCGTTGTCTGTGCCATTCCTGCCGTCACGTCTGCTTGAGCCCCCGCCAACTATACCGCCCCTGGAACCTATATCACTCGCGGGTGATGATCTGCAGACACCCCCTGCGTTTATCCGTTAAATGTGGATCCATGGGGGAAGGGGAAGCCCGAGATAGAGAACGTGCAACAACTGACGCATGGTCGCCGGTACCTACGGTTCTCACTTATCGGTTACGGACAGCAGTCTATCTGCATAATTTATGTATTTGCATGCCAACATACACTGAGCACGCATGTGCTCATGCGATGCATTGCCGGATCGCAAATTATTACGGGCTCTATATGTTATATGTTAGACGTGCTCCAGTATGCATGCTTATATTTACTAGTTACGGAACAATAATTACGGACTTGTATTAATTACCACGCGCTTCGCAAATGCGTCGCGAACTTGCTATTGCTTGTTGCGCTGGGTGGCGTTTGTGATACGTATGTGCGAGGCGGACACCTACTCGGCACATCTGGGTAGCTCAATCGACAACTCCTCGTTTATGTCACATTCAAATTTAACCCTCCCCGAATATCTCACGATAATGCGGGCCCTAGTCGGGGCCAGATACGGCATTGTCGCTTGTATGGTGGCCGAGAACTATACGTCTGCCTGCATTCTGCACCCCCTTCCGTTTCAAATTGACAGGCCCTCTTTGTGGGAGCATTCCTCTGCTCCCACCGGGAGGGGCGCCGGACGACGCGGAATGGTGGAGGGCGGCCGCGGCAGCAGACGACCACTACCAAATTTTGGCCCCCCTTTTGGATATCCCGATTGTAGGCTACCAGATGCCAGCGAGCCTGTACTTCCAGGGCGGTGAACTGCAATGCGGCCATTTATCGCCGCTCATAGATTGGCACGAAGCCTGGAAGTGCTGACGCTTTGATTGCCCGTTCCTATGGGTGAGGCGAGTACCGCCCCGCACCTTCGTGTTCTACACGACGCACCCCCCCACCCCCACACATCCCCTACGTCGCCGAGCAACTGGACGACTGGGATGAGGACGAGTACG